TGAAAAAAAGAAAAAAAGAAAAAAAGAAAAAAAGAAAAAAAGAAAAAAAGAAAAAAAGAAAAAAAGAAAAAAAGAAAAAAAGAAAAAAGAAAGAAGAAAAAAGAAAGAAGAAAGAAGAAAGAAGAAAGAAGAAAGAAGAAAGAAGAAAGAAGAAAGAAGAAAGAAGAAAGGAAAAAAAGGAAAAAAAAGGGGAAAAAAAGGAAAAAAAGGAATTTCCCTCTCTCTCTCTCTTCCAGGTGCTTGGCTTAGCTTTGTGATACGCAAGAATGAAATCCATCTGAGTTGCTGTTGTCCTGCTGTTTAAAGCTCCATTTTCTGTCAATATTGCTTCATTTTTATCAAGTTGCTTACATGTTTTATATTATTATCTTCCCGCCCCCCCCCCCCCCCCCATTTTGCCACAGCATTTCAGAACATTTTGTTTCTTGCACTTCTCAGTAAATAGCCTGGAAGTAAGAGAGTCAAAGGCAGACGGAAAGCATTCGCTTTCTTTGTTGCAATGTTTCCTATCTATTGCACTTGTCAATGTGGAATACCAAAAAAAAAAAAAGGGAAAAAAAAGGGAAAAAAAAGGGGAAAAAAAGGGGAAAAAAAGGGGAAAAAAAGGGAAAAAAAAGGGAAAAAAAAGGGAAAAAAAAGGGAAAAAAAAGGGAAAAAAAAGGGAAAAAAAAGGGAAAAAAGGGAAAAAAAAGGAAAAGAGCCTATTTGCACCCAAAAAAGTCACTGCAAGGCCGCTTGGTGCTGCTTCTCCTCATCCTCTCTCACGGGGATATATTTAAGCGTCTCTGGCCCCTGGGTGGGTAGGGATGCATCGGTCCAAATGAATTAAATGCCCAGGAGCTGCGGCTGGAGCGGCTGGCACGGCAGGCGGGCTGCCGGCGGGATCAGCGCCGCGTTCCCCACCTCTGCCCTGCACACGCAGCACGGGTGAGGCCGGATCGCCTCGGAGGGCGTTCATCTCCGTTACTCTGACCACACGTGTGCTCACGCTCGTGGTGTTTGCGCCGACGGCCGCTTTCGTTTGAAACAGGTAAAGCAGCAGCAGGCTTTGGGGCATCGGGTGTACGAAGAGCCTCGCTATTTAGAATCATAGACTCGTTTGGGTTGGAAAAGCCCTTTAAGCTCCCCCAGCCCAACCGTTCCCCTACCCCTGCCATCCCACCCCCAAACCCTGGCCCTCAGCACCGCCTCTGCCCGGCTGTTAAATCCCCCCAGGGGTGGGGACTCGACCCCTTCCCTGGGCAACCCCTTCTGTGAAGAAATTTTTCCTAATGTCCAACCTAACCCTGCCCTGGTGCAACTTCAGACCATTTGGCTCCTTACGTCTTCTCGGGGAGATGACTCCTGGCCGGTCCCCCCTTTCCCTGCCTCAGCTCCCTCCTTAAAGCACTCGAGCTGCAAAGGGAAGCACAGAGGGACCAGGGCTCCCCCCGTCCTCTGCACATGACGATGTCCAAAATAAAGAGGAACGCTGGATCTGTGATGATTTCAGTTCTATGTCTTTTAGTTTAACCTTTGGGGCAGCGGAGCCGGCTTGCGGCTGGTCCCCAGCTACGACGCTCACCGCAGGAGGGGCAGAGTCTGAGTCAAAAAAAAAAAGCCTCCTCAGAAGAACCAGCCGTTCGAGGCAGCAAACTTTATGAGCTGACACAGCCCAGATCCAATTTCTCCTTCGCTAAAGGGAGTTAATCTTTGCGTACGGGAGCTCTGAAAGAGAGAAGACGTAAATGCCTCCCGTACGGAGCGAGCTCTGTGTCTGCGGCCGAGCGGTTCTTGGGAAGGAAAAGAAAAAGAGCCTGGCTTCCTCCATCCAGCCCCGCAAAACGTCTGCTCCAGAAATGGGATCAGAACAGGGAGAGCCCGATGAGACCCGAGCTCCTCACACTCCCATGTTGCTGAGACCACCCGGACCCCTCGTCTTCATTTCCTTCCCCCCCGCCCCTGCAATCATCAGCAGCCCTCTGGCCGCAGGGGAAGGAAAAGAAAAGGCTCCGTTCCATGGGAGAAAAGATAAAACCCACCAAACCAAACCGACGATCGATGTTGGAACAAGGAGGCCAAACAAACTGCCGAGCACCTGCGTTGGTGCCCAGAAGGCTTAGCAAGGGATGCCACCGAGGGAGGACATCCCTGCTACCGATGAGGCAAGGCAGAGCCAGGGGTTTGGCAGCCAGCGCATCCCGGAGTGGCTTGGACATTGCGATGGATGCGAAAGGGTGGGAGGAGATGGCAGAGCCCCGAAACCCCCCAGGGGGGGTTTTGCTCCCTCCATCCTCCCTCCGGCGGCTGGCTGAGCAGCACCGGGGCTCGCAGGGCCGTGTTTGCCAACGCGGCTAAGAAAACAGAGCGCAGGTTACGTTCGAGCGGCCACTCCATCATCGCCTGGCTGCTCCCGCGGCTTGAGGTTTTCCAGTCAGCCCTTCCCGGCCAGCAGCTCCGGCAGAGCCAGCGCCGGGGCCGTGCCAAGGAGCGCTCAGCGCAGCACCCACAGGCGGGCAGTGCCCCGCTGCTCTCCCAGCCCCTCTCCATCCCGCTCGGAGCTCCGGAGGGATGTATCCGCATCCCACCGCGACGCACGGCCACCTACAATCCATAGAGTGCCAGCAGCTCCTTGCTAGGGAGAAGAAAGCGGGGCTGTGCCAGGGCAGGGACACCCCTCCAGCCCCACCCCCCCCCCGGAGGGACCGGCACTCACTTTCCACCGTAGCGCCTTCATTAGGGTTGGAGTAACCTTCTCCCTTCCTCTTGATCCTCCGGATTATCCCTCCATCCTCAAACAAGTCCTCACCTTTGAAGTCAAGCAGCTCGACCTAAAAAAAAAAAAATAAATAAATATATGAAAATAATAAAGAAAAGGTGGGTAGAGCTCAGGGAGGGGGGAAGGAGAGGAGAAAAGCAACAGAAAAGCCACAAAGCAGCGGTTCATCCTCCGGCTGGAGAGCCACGCCAGCTCATTCTCCATTCAGCTGACGAGCAGAAGTTGCCCATAAAAGCCAGCTCCAAGCCACAGCATAATACACCCGATTTATTAGAAATTGGGACACATCCAGTACCTGAAGCGTAACACAAAGTAACAGTAAAAATAAGTTTATTAAGCCTGTAAGGGCACAGGACGGCCGGTGCTGGAAGATGCTGTGAAAGCTGCCCGGGACCAGCACGGGCAGGAGTTTCCCCTTCATTCTCCGACGGAACCAGCTCCGACCCATGGCTTAGTCCCCGCTTGACTTGGAAGGACTAAGCCTTAATTTAGGACAGCCCCATTCCTCCCGCCCCACCGCCTTGTCCCGACGAGCCCTGCCCTGCAAGCGCACCGTGCCAGAGCCTTGGCTTTCCTACCACCCCGCGGCACTAATCGGTTTTTAGCACCCAGAGGCATTTCCCAGCTGCCTTCTCCTTCCCATGTGCATTTTTTCAAACGGGAATCTGCCCGCTCCCCCCTTCCCCGGCACCAGGGCTCTCCCCAGCCAGAGCTTCAGTCCCAACCTCCCAGCTCAGACACACATTTCTGAGAAAACCCTGGCAGCAGTTCCTGGAGCAGAGGGACACGTTTCAGGAATCCAAGCTGGGTTTTTTGTTGGGGTTTTTTGCTTGGTTTTTGGTTTTGTTTTTTTTTTTTATTATTATTATTATTTCTGAGCTGGCTGGCAAGGCAGAAAGAGAGCGAGCAAGCTCATCCACGCGCCGGCTCGCCGGCATTACTTGCCTCGAAAAAAAGGGTGGCGTTGGAGGGGATTTTGGGGGCACTGCCAGCAGAGCCGTAGGCGTACTCGGGTTTGCAGAGCAAGTAGCAGATCTCTCCCTTCTTCATGGTAGCCACCCCGATGTCCCATGCCTTGATTACCTGACCTAGGAGGGAGGCAGACGTCAGGCAGGAGGGAGCAACCGGCAGCCCAGAAAAAACCCAGCCTGGGTGCTGCGAGGATGGCACCCCCAAAAAAATCCCACCCTCCGAAGTCACTTAAGGCAGGGCTGACACCGTCCATCTGTCCTGCAACAGGGGCCC